TAAAGCCATCCTGCTAAGACATTTTTTTGCTTGGAGTTTTTTTTTATTACTACTTCAATTTTATTACTCAGACTTACTCTATTCAGATTTTCTGATTCTTCCTGATTCAGTTTTGGGACATTGTATGTTTCTAGGAATTTATCCATTTCATCCAGATTGTCCAATTTGTTGGCATATAATTGTTTATAATATTTTATTATAATCCTTTGTATTTCTGTGGTGCCAGTTGTTACTTCTTTTTCATTTCTGATTCTATGTATTTGGGTCCTCTTTGATTATTTTCTTGATAAATCTAGTTAAAGGTTTGTCAGTCTTGTTTATCTTTTTAAAGAACCAGCTCTTGGTTTCATTGATCTTTTTTCATTGTTTTTTTAGGCTCTATTTTGTTTCTTTCTGTTCTGATCTTTATTATTTGCTTTCTTCTACTCACTTTGGGCTTTGTTTGTTGTTCTTTTCTAGTACCTTTAAGTGTAAAGTTAGATCGTTAATTTGAGATGTTTCTTGTTTCTTGAGGTAGGTCTGTAATGCTATGAATTTCCCTCTTAGGACTGCTTTCTCTGTGTCTCACAGATTTGGGGTTGTTGTGTTCTCATTTTCTTTTGTTTAAAGGTATCTTTTGATTTCTTTCTTGATGTCATTGTGAACCCATTCATTGTTTAGTAACATGTTATTTAGCCTCCAGGTGTTTGTGTGTGTGTGTTTTAAACTTTTTCCTTATGATTGGTTTCTAGTTTTATACCATTATGGTCATAGAAGATGCTTGATATTATTTCAATCTTCTTAAATTTATTGAGACTTGTTTTGTGCCCTAAAATATGATCTATCTTAGAAAATGTTCCAAGTGCACTTGAAAAGAATGTACATTCTGCTGCTTTGGTGTGACATGCTCTGAAGATATTAAATCCATCTGATCCAGTGTGTCATTTAAGGCCACTGTTTCCTTGTTGATTTTCTGTCTGGAGGATCTATCCACTGATGTCAATGGGGCAATAAATATCCCTACTATGCCTCTATTACTGTTGATCTCTCCCTTTATATCCATGAATATTTGCATTATATATTTGTCTTCCTATGTTGGTATGTAAATGTTTACGAGCATTATGTCCTCTTATTGGATTGATCCCTTTATCATCATGTAGTGCCCTTTTATGTCTCTTATTATGGTCCTTGTTTTAAAGTCTACTTTGTCTGATATAAGTATTGCTACTCCAGCTTTCCCAGCTTTTCTAAAATTGCTATTTGCATGAAATATCTTTTTCCATCCCTTTTACTGTTAGTCTCTGTATGTCTTTCATTCTGAGGTGGTTCTCTTGTAGACAACATGTATATGGGTTTTGGTTTTTTATCCATTAAGCTGTCTTATGTATTGGACCATCTAAGCCATTTACCTTTAAACTGATTATTGATAGGTATGTACGTATTGTGATTTATTTTATTATATTTGTTACCCTGATTGGTTTAAGTCTGCCATAAGGCAGAGAATTTCACTTATTTTCTTTAAGTTCCAATATCCCAGCACAAATTTGGCAGTATTGCTCATGTATTTTCATGATCACAATAGGAAGTCCTTATTACATAGAAAGGAAAATTGAAGGCTTCATGAAGGTGAAAGATCATAAATGGGACTTGAACTCATAGCACTTTACAGTACTGAGTATAGAGTGCATGCTTAACAAGCACTTTAACTGAATTTAATTGTTGGTTCAATAAAAAAATTAAAGTTCTGTTGGTTTTATTTCTAGCTCGACCAAGAAACAGTCATGCGATCTGGGGAAAATAACTGAACTTTTTCTATATCTCCACAGCCTATTGGAATTAAGGACATGTAATAATCCTCCTAAATCTCACAATCTATCACTTTATTCTAAATTTTATTTTGTCACTCACCAAACCCTTTTTTGCACCTATACTTCACTGCCAGCCCCTACCTCACCCAGGATCTGGATCTGCAGTGATCTATCCAGACTGGATTTCCCCTCTATTTCCCCATGCTCCAGCACACTCTCCTCTATATTAATTTGGCACCATCTCTCATCCTCCCACCTCTTTAATCAAAACTTTTTCCTCAGTGCTGATCTCAGCTAGGTGTTAAAAGCAGAGCAATCTGTTCCAACATTTTTATACTAAACTATGAAATACTGATCACTGGGAAGTTCCTCAAGGATTCTCAAGCTTTACAAAAGGGATTTTATTATTCTGGGATTTCATGCAAAATGACAGAATAACATAATGAAGTTTAGAAGATAGAGATTTGGCAAGGCAGATCTTTGATCATATTATGTAAACCTGGCCCTGTCATACACATGGACTCAGATTCAGAATACAGATTCCTCCCTATTTCTTTAATTGAGGTAACATAGGATAATAATATGTAAGTTTCAAGTGTACATTACAATTAAATATCTGTATAAATTATAGCATGCTCACCACCAATAGTCTAGATTCCTCCCTTTACCATGTAATTGATCCCCTTTACCTTTCGCCCTCGCCCCATCCCCTGCCCTTCTGGTAACCACCAATTTGTTATCTTTACCTATGAAGGTTTTTGTTTTGTTTTGCTTGTCTGTTTATTTGTTTCTTTTTTGTTTTATATTTCACATATGAGTGAAATCATACAGTTTTTGCCCTTTTCCATCTTACTTGTTTCACTTAGCATAATACCCTCAAGGTCCATCCATGTTGTTGCAAATGGCAACATTTTTTTTATATAAATCATGGCAAGCAGACTTTTATTTTATTATTTTTAAAATATATTTTTATTGATTTCAGAGAAGAAGGGAGAGAGAGAATCATTGATCAGCTGCCTCCTGTATGCCCCACATTGGAGATCAAACCTGCAACCTGGGCATGTGTCTGACCAGGAATTGAACCGTGACCTCCTGATTCATAGGTCAATGCTCAACCACGGAGCCAGGCTAGCTGGGCAGTAGACCATATTTTAAATGTTCATTTTAGATCACCCTCCCAGCTGCTCAATCTACATTTGTCCCACTCCCTGACTTTCATCAACTATTTAACAAATATTTATTTAGAACATATACTATATCATAAGGCATGTTGCTAATGATGTTTTAAATATGGATAGAATATGGTCTCTGTCATCAAGGACCTTACAGTGCACTATGAATAACAGACATATAAAAAAGTACTTATAAATAAATAAACAAACACATAAGTACTTAGTAATATATCTTCGGACGTTTCATCCAACTGGGTGGGGGGAGCGGTTCAGGGAAGGTTTCTGGAACTCAAGCCTCACCAACTTTTAACAAAACCCTCTGTAAACCAGGTCCAGTGCATATCTTCATAACTGGCCTGAAGTATGCAATCAGGATTTCTGAAATGTACATCTTGGACACAAAACATACCAGTAGATGATCTACTTTTCCAAACCATACTGGCACATGTAACTTGCTGAAGATTATGTCTTAACAAAGTATGTACCACCAAAGCTAGTTACGTAATTGTTCTTAGAATGAAGTGTGAGAGGATGTGCCTTTATTCTCTGTTTCATTGGGTATTTTTAAGATCATGGCTCTGGATAAATAGTTCTGTCCTATTCGATTTGTCTCCAAAAGGCAAAACTATTCATTTATGTTATTTCTAGCTTACTTTCATACCTTCTCTACACCCTGGCTTTAGTTCACTCAAACTGTACATCCGTCAAAGAATTAAAAAGACAATAATCTAGCAGAAAAAAAAATCCTGAAAGTTTTTTTATTTGGTGGTTGTCTTCCAGTTAGGTGCAAAGTAATCAGAATGAAAACATATTTCAGGATGTCCTTCTGTTTAAGTGATTAAAATAAACTGTGTCTGTATAAAAGCTTGTCAAAGTTCAACTGAACTGTGATTACAAGAAAAGCCTTGGGTGTTTTTGGAGGCTGCAAAATTTATGGAAAAAATCTTCCAAGTTCAATGTACTCTGCAAGGGACTATCCAATTCCAAGGGCAATTGTGGGAGTTAGATGTGCACAAAAGTGCAGTAGCCAACCTGCTCCCGTAGCCGCCATCACCCTGTAGCCCAGCAGGCCTTGGGTCCAGGCCAAACAGACACTCATGAGGAAATAAATGGTCTGATCTGTGAACAGTTTGCACTATGTAACTGAACCTGTTGAAAGAGAAAGCCAGGAGTGGATTTATCCTTCTTATATCATTTTCATAAAAATCACCAGTTACTGAAAGATTTCTATGTGCAAGTGTGTTCTTTAGATGCACATATGCACATAATCAAAGACACAAGCCTTTGTACCTCTATACTGATACTCCTGCTCCTAGTCTCTTGAATTTTTTAAGTGCTAACTGGCTGTAATTGGTACCAGATACTCATGAATATAAGTATTTTATATTTGTCAGTGTTTCCTTTGCACTTCAACCTAGGCTACTTGCTGGTACTCTGACGCCTCGCTGGCTGGCTGGTGGTCACATGAGCAGTAAATGTACAGATGATTATACCATAAAATGGCTTGGGAGCACTGAAGCAGATGTGCCTGTATGAGTGACAGAACAGCCAGCAGGGAGCAAAGCTGCTCGTAGGTGGGCTGACTCAGGCTGGAATAAAACTCTGCTTTCCCTTTGAGATATGATGTACTCCAGAAGCTTCTAGGAGATTCTGGCCATGGTGCTAGACCCCTCCCTGTCTCCTCCCACCCCCTTTCAAAGATTACTTTCTCTTGTTTTTTCCCCCCGTTAATTCTTACTTTCACCCAACATGCATTCACATAATTGTTCTCTGCCTCTGTCTCTATCAACTTCTCTCTCTCTCCATTCCTCTCCCCCTCTCTCTCCCACCCACACACCTATATACTAGGTTCTGTAGACACCTAATATGTTTCCCAGAAATCTACCAACAAAACCTTCCCCAAATCCCAAAATATTACCCATCAGCAAATTTTGGGAAGACAGTCCCTGGGTATAATTTATATAACTTCCCATTATGCCATATGCCAGAGTGTGCAATTGATTGAGACCTGTGCCCCCGTAGGCCTTCCTAATACTCTTACAGTAGCCTTAGTACCCTGGTATTTTTATCATTATCCTCGTCATCATCATCATCACCATCATAATCATCATTATCCTTTGTCATGTATGGAATGGTCTTGAGCTGGAAAAGTTAAAAGAGGAATAATATAATAGCATTACACCACAGTGTTTTGAATATGTACTTTGCTATTTAGCAACACTTGCCAGATTTTTGTTAAACTCCACTGAATAATTTTTTGAAAGATTTTTTATTGATGTTTAGAGAGAGAGGAAGGGAGAGGGAGAAAGAGAAACATCAATGTGAAAATGTTGGCTCCTGTACATCTTCTATCGGGGATTGAGTCCGCAACCCAGGTATGTGCCCTAACTGGGAATTGAACCAGAAACCTTTTGGTGCACGGGAAGATGCCCAACTAACTGAACCACACTGGGCCCACTGAATAATTTTTAAGAGGAGTTAAATAGAATGGTGTTTGGTAGTCAACTGTCTCTTTGCCCTGTGGTGCTGCCACAGAAAACACTTGAAGCCCTATGTCTCAATGGGTTTTGTATTTTAGTCTGGAAAAGGGACTTAGCAGACTGCCACAGCAGTGTCATCTATGGCTTTTCAGAGCACCTTTGTTTCATAGCTTACTGAGGCACAGGCATGAAAACCATAGAAATGACTGATTCAAGGTGTAAGACATCCTTTATTGATTGCAGCTCAGCAATGACTCAGAATTGTAATCCTAATATATAAAAGGCCAGGGTTGTAACCCCAATCAAGACCAAGGCTGACCAACCCGGACTTCAGTCAGTAACTGGGTTGCAGAGGCGACCCAGCACTGACTGCCCAGGGGGCTGAGACCCAGAGAGAGAGTCAGGGTCTGATCCACAGCCTCAATGGCAGCTGTTGATCAGTACTTGCCTCTCTCTTTCTCTCCCTCTTTCTTTCTGAGCTTTGCCATCAGCTGGCTTTTCTTTCTCTCCTGGCCTCTGTGGGGGCTGCTGTTCAGCCCTGCTTCTCTGATCAGGCCCACAGATAGGCCTGGAGATGCTGACTGGCATAGGAACTAACCAATCAGAACCAAATGTGGGTGCTGTGAAGAACCACTGGCTGCCTAGGAGGTGGAGCTTTTGACATTGATTGGCATAGGAACAGACCAATCAGAACCAAATGTGGGTGCTGTGAAAACCAATGGCTGCCTAGGAGGCAGAGCTTCTGATGCTGACTGGCATAGACACTGACCAATCAGAACCAAATGTGGGTGCTGTAGGAGCCAATGGCGGCCTGGGAGGCGGAGCTTTTGATGTTGACTGTTATAGAAACCGACCAATCAGAACCAAATCTGGGTGGTGTGGGGAGCCAATGGCTGCCTAAGAGGTGGAGCTTTTGACGCTGACTGGCATAGTAACCGACCAATCAGAACCAAATCTGGGTGCTGTGGGGAGCCAATGGATGCCTAGTAGGCAGAGCTTTTGATGCTGACTGGCATTGAAACTGATCAATCAGAACCAAATTGGCCAGCAGAGGAGGGCAGTTGGGGGCAAGATCAGGCCAGCAGGGGAGGGCAGTTAGGGGTGATTAGGCTGACAGGCAGAGGCAGTTAGGGGTGATCAGGCAGGCAGGCATGTGAGCAGTTAGAAGCCAGAAGTCCCAGATGGCAAGAGGGATGTCCAACTGCCAGTTTAGGCCCAATCCCTGTGGGGTCAGACCTCAACCGGCAGTTGGACATCCCCCAAGGGGTCCCCAATTGGAGAGGGTGCAGGCTGGGCTGAGGGAACTCCCCCTCTGTGCATGAATCTCGTGCACCGGGCCTCTAGTTAACAATAATATCAAAATGACAGAATGGCTATCATCAACAAATCAACAAATGACAAGTACTAGAGAGGATGTGGAGAAAAAGGAACTCTCATGCACTGCTGGTGGGAATGCAGACTGGTGCAGCCACTGTGGAGAACAGTATGGAGTTTCCTCAAAAAACTAAAAATGGAACTCTCATTTGACCCAGTGATCCCACTTCTAGGAATATATCCCAAGAAATCAGAAACACCAATCAGAAAGGATATATGCACCCCTATGTTCATAGTAGTGCAATTTACAATAGCTAAGATTTGGAAACAGCTTAAGTGCCTATCAGCAGATGAATGGATTAGAAAACTGTGGTACAGCTACACAATGGAATACTATGCTGCTGTAAAAAAAAGGAATTCTTACCATTCACAACAGCATGGATGGAACTGGAGAGCATTATGCTAAGTGAAATAAGCCAGTCAGAGAAAGATAAATACCACATGATCTTACTCGTTTGTAGAATATAATGAACAACATAAACTGATGAACAAAAATAGAGCCAGAAGCATCAAAAAAAGTCCAGCCTAAGAAGAAAGGCAGGGGAAGGGGTGTGGGGGGAGGGTAAGAGATCAATCAAAGGACTGTATGCATGTATATGAGCATAACCAATGGACAGAGACAGTAGGGGGGGGGTGAGGGCATGTGCTGGGGAGTGAGAGCGGCCTAGGAGAGGTCAATGGGGGGGAAAAGGAGACTTATGTAATACTTTAAACAATAAATAATTTAAATTAAAAAAACAAAAAAAACATCATTACTGTTTACTAGATGCTAGCATCGTTCTAAATAATGTACAGGCATTCTTTCATTTAATCCTTACATCAATCCTATGAAATATATAGTAATTTTATTACCATGTACTGATGAGGAAACTGAGACATGGAAGGGTTAAGTGACTTGCCAAAGTTTACACAGCTAATAATTGGCAGAAGGAGGATTCAAACCCATGAGGTTTGGCTCCAGAGTAAAAAAAGACCTACTAACTGTTCTGAATAAGGTTCAAGTACATTTACTTTATTAACCTAGAGCTTCCCTCATGCCATGTTTGCCAAGTTCCTTTTTCCAGCTATTGGGCCATGTGTTCAGGAGTCATTAGCAAGATATCCTTATCTTCAAAACTTCCTTTGATGTTCATTTAACTCCATCTTCATGTGGAAAAGAGATTTTGGGGCAGCAAGTGTCCTTTGCCAAAGACAACATCTATTCTGCTTTAATCTCTCATCTCATAGTTCTTTTAAGAATAAATAGCCCGTTTAGTTTTCTTCTATTCTTGTGTGAACTTTTAATTTAAAAGATTATCTATAGAGATTTAAATAAAATCTCTGAACAGCTCAGGGCTTATGGATTCACTTTCATTTGATGTATGACCCAAAGACCACTTGCATCGGAAACATTTGGGCACCTTGTTAAAAATGTAGATTCCAGCCTGGCGGGTGTGGCTTAATGGTTGAACATCGACCTATGAACCAGGAGGTCACAGTTCAATTCTTGGTCAGGAAACATGCCTGGGTTGCAAGCTCAATCCCCAGTAGGGGGCATGCAAGAGGCAACCGATCAATGATCATCTCTCATCACTGATGTTTCTATCTTTCTCTCTCCCCATCTCCCTTCTTCTCTGAAATCAATAAAAAATATATATATATATTTAAATATATATTTTATTGATTTTTTTACAGAGAGGAAGGGAGAGGGATAGAGAGGTTGAAACATCGATGAGAGAGAAATATCGATCAGCTGCCTCCTGCACACCTCCCACTGGGGATGTGCCTGCAACCAAGGTACATGCCCTTGACCGGAATCGAACCCGGGACCCCTCAGTCCGCAGGCAGACGCTCTATCCTCTGAGCCAAACCGGTCAGGGCAATATAAAAAAAATATTTTTAATGCAGATTCCAGACACCTATCCTAGACCTACTCTATTTCTGAAGATAGAGTTCATAAATCTACATTTGTAAAAGGCTTCCCAGGTAATTCTGATGCACCTGAAAATTTGAGAACTTGCAGTCCAAATCAGCATGGTTTAGTGTATACAAAGAATAATGGCATGAGGAGCTAATGACCTAGTGGACCTGGCTCTACAACTAATTTCCTGTGTGACTTTGGGCAAATCAATTAATATCTCTGAACCTCAGTCTTCTCATCTGTAAAAAGGGACAAATCTCGTTTTTATCCCCTCAAAGTTGTATAGATCAACTATAAATGGGTGTGAAAGTTCTTTAGAGTTTTATAAAAATAGCACACATTATTATTATTATGGGTGGGGTCAGGGAGAACAGACAGGAGGAATGCTGTTGGCAAGGACTGAAGGGAAAAGAATCTAGTTTCTTTCCTTTTCCCATCAGAGTCCAGACAATGGATTGTAGTATTGTGGAATTTTTCAAGGTTCTTTCCAAGTCACAACCTCCCCCCTCCTTCATGCATTCATAGTTTACTGTTAACAGTGAAAGAAGGCCCCTCTCTCCCATAATATTCCTTTAGTTGAAAAATCTATTTGAATAGGTTGAGGTCAGCTCCAGGTTCTGATTGGTGACCAACACGGCACTGTCAGACTATAAGACACATCACTTTTCCCCTTAGTTATTAGGGCAAATGTAATTGAACAATACTTATCTGCATATTAGCGGAAATGAAGAAGTAGAACATATTTTTGTTCTCATTCATAATTGGGTGCAGAAATGGTACATGTAGTCACAGGTAGTCAACTTAAAAGACACAGAAAATATTGTTCATTCTTCATGCTTAATGAGTCCAAACATTTGTTTCTGATATAAACAGGGGATCCCTTTATTTTCAAGATGCATTACCCTATTTAGTCCCTCTTCCTTACCCTCCACTCTCTTAAGTCTTACTCAAAGGATTTCATAATGGATTTCAACATATCTAAGATTCAAATTGGGTCTAGGATTGTGTCCAAACATCTGGCTTTCAACTTCTGAATGCCTAGGTCATTTCTCTCAGAAAAGAATGTCTACCCATTCTTGTCAATTCCCTGAGCTCCATCTCAGTGACTTTCTCCTCTGCTATTTTGACTTTCTAACCAGGAAATGGATTTCATTAGCTTTAGCTTGCGGGGAGAGGCTGTACCTGAGGTGACCCCAAAAGTCATTCAAATATTCCATCCAAGGGCAGGCAAATGCTGTATGGGAAGTCACAAAGAGAAGGGAAAAAGAGAGAGAGAAGAGATGAAATCAGGCTTTGATGAGCAGTTCAGCCCGGCCAGCCTCTTGGAAGGGAGCCAGCGCTGGTAAAGCAGCAGCAGCTCTGGGTTTCACAGTCAGTCTGGAATGCACTTCAATACAGCCCAGCCTCCATCTCGTTAAAGGCCTAGCGTTTGATGATTCAGCTGCTTGCCGGCTGCCAGGAGAAATTTGGCCAACTGTTTGAAAAACACTGTCTGCCCCAGACCACACTTGTTTTTATTCTCTGCCTGTTGTCAGGGGCCCCTTCTGAAATGAAACACCTCAGGAAATCAGACCCAAACTCTGAGGAGTTTAGGCTGCCTCTTGTGCCCCCTTTTCAAAGGCAATTATACCAAAATAGGGATTGTTTGCAGCAAAGTAGTTGGCCTAGGGATGTTGAAAGCAGACAATGCGTTATCAGGAAATGATCTCTCATTAGATCTCCTTCAGATCAAATGAAAAACATAGTGTACTAGCAGACTCATCAGACATTAAAGGCACAGCTGAGATCTGCCATTGCTGAACGCCCCATATATCAGTTTGTTCAAAGATGCAGGTTAAAGGGTAATGGAGATACACATTTTGGGAAGGGATTGAGCAAGATCCTCCACTGTAGGCTGGACTCTTGAACTGTACTGTTTGCTTCTGAAAGGTCCCTTAGAGCTGCAGGCCCAACTTTCTAACACAGAAAGCAGATCCTCAAAGTGGACTGGGCTGCCTCACGCAGACATAAACATATTACCTTCAACATTGCTTATCGGTTAAGAGGATGGCCTTTGGAGTCAGACTGCCTGAATGTGCGGCCCAGCTACACCACTTATTAGTTCTATGTACATAGGACATTTAGTTCTCTGCGCCTCACTTTTCTTATCAGTGAAATCACTGTACCTTCTTTATAGGGTTGTGAGATTTAGAGGAAAATGAGTTAATACACGGAGAATGTCTAGAATAGGGCCTAGCATAGGATAAGCCCTCAATAATAGTGTTAATTATTAATGTTATTAAAGGCCTGAAGGTATCCTAGCCAACACCTCTTCTGTGTTGTGTGGCAGTGACTGAGAATACAACTATTTCAGTAAGATAGTCTTGGATTTGAATCTTACTTCCACCACTTACTTGCTCGTTGGACTTAGGTGAGTTATCTAACCTCCATTATCCTTCATTTCTCCATCTGTAAAATGGAGAAACATAGTCGGAAATGGAAAGTGGATTCTCTCTCCTTAACTCTTACATGGTTTAATGGTCTCAATAGTTACTTGGGCCAGTCAGCTGAAAAGGGAACCAGCTGGCAGCAAAACCAGAGTACACTGGCAATTATCAAACTAACTCCTTCATTTTATGAAAATGTGGGTTGTCAGACTTTTGGCACGCTCACTATCTTTCAATCTATCCTTTATTACTCTTGAATGGTGAAAACCTGAGTGGCAACTATAATAAGGGAGAGAAACAAATCCCTGACCCCCAAAACCGTACTTGTGACTTGGCATGGACAGTGATTTGCAGAGAAGATAGTGTGAACTTGCTCAGAAATGTAGCCAGTCCAAACAGTTGCAATGATTATTTACTTCTCTCATGCTCCAGCATGTTCCTCAGCTGGGAACATCATGCTTCAGAACAGGGGTGGGGAACATCCGGCCCTTGGGCCATATAAGGCCCACGAAATCATTTGGTCTGACCCTGACAAGGCATTCGGGGTGCATTCATTAAATGTTTGACCAAATATAGCAGGCTCATTTTTTAAAATATATTTTTATTGATTTCAGAGAGGAAGGGAGAGGGAGAAAGAGATAGAAACATCAATGATGAGAGAAAATCACTGCAACCCGGGCATGTGCCCTGACCAGGAATTGAATTGTGACCTCCTGGTTCATAGGTCAATGCTCAACCACTGAGCCACGCTGGCCGGGCAGCAGATTAATTTTTAAGTTGATAATTTTGTATGGCCCATAAATGATGTTATAAATATCCAAATGGCGCTTGGCAGGAAAAAAAAGGCTCCCCACCCCTGTTTTAGAAGAAGAGAACAGGATGTCTTCTCCTTTTTCCTGCACTTGCTATGTGAACATGCAGAAAAAAGCATATTTTCTCCTGCTTTTCAAGCAATAAATACACTGAGTTTGATAGTTCAGCTCTATCTTGGGGCATGAAAAGAAACTAGATGCAGATTTTTCAAAGAATGATTTAGTGTGTCACTGGAGAACTTGTCTCCACAGAATTGTAACCTGACTTTTTGTTCAAATCTACAGAAAGACACATGTAAGTCCTGGTGAGGAACACCCTTGCATATGACTGTAATTCTGCAAAGTCCAAACTATTTCTCTCCTTTCTCTTTCTTAATTTTAGTGTGGTTTTAAAGCAGCTTTAAGAGCATTTCTGATGTCTGGTTAACCCCTAGAGTGCTGGGGAGCGCGGTCGCGCTCCTCCTGTCTTTCGCCAAAAGTGCCGGGAGCGCTATCAAAGCTTCGAAATGGCGTCCAGTTCTAAGTCTGCTTTTATTAGTGATGATGATATTGCTAAATATGTCAATGTAGTAAAGGTTTCCTTAAGTTTTTGAATATGTAACTTCATTTACTTGCGATTCATAATTTTTTTCCTAAACTGCTGTAAAATCAGCAAAAATGCCTTGGCAATTTTAGCATAGTTCCTAGGATATTGGTTGGCACTCAAAGGGTTAATTTTGCCTTCCCCAGGCCCTTCTCAACTCTCTTGTCCCCGCCCCCTTCATCTTTAACATTTTCACCAGGTCTGAGAAGATAGAGACACAGACAGTTAACCCCTTTTAGAAGCCCTGCCTTGCTTCCTACAGACACAGTCATTAGCAGTCACTATTTTTCAATTTTCAAGAAGGAAACAAAAATATGTGCAGGATGCATTTTCTATTACTACATAAGAACAGTGAAATACTATAAAGTGGGTTCTTAGCATTTTAACAGTTAAAATCAGTGAACAATACTTTAATAGTCACGTAAATTAATGGGCTTTAATTCATATATATATATTATTGATTTCAGAGAGGAAGGGAGATGGAGAGAGAGATAGAAACATCAATAATGAGAGAGAATCATTGATTGGATGCCTCCTGCACACCCCACACTGGGGATCGAGCCTGCAACCCTGGCATGTGCCCTGACTGGGAATCAAACCATGATCTCCTGGTCCATAGGTCAATGCTCAACTGCTGAGCCAAGCCGGCCTGGGCTTTAATTCTTAATAGTGATCTATGGGGCACAACAGAATACCAAGTAGACTGTTCTGGTAGAGAGATTTCTATGAGTCAATTTCCAAAACCAATCTGAGGTGCAAAGTAAAGCTTGCTGGGCTGCGGTGGAAATAGCAAAAGCAGGCCTGTTGGCACTGGTTTAAAGAAGAGCAAGGCTTATCTTGTCAGAGGCTTTAAAGACAGTTACATTTACCCAAGTGGGGTGGAAGAAGAGGAAATTGGTTCTTAGAAATAAGCAGTCTACCCTTTCATATCTGTGAGCCCAAAACCTTGAAAGTCAAGTTCCTTAAGGATGATTGAGCCCCGGATAACTGGCTTATACCATTCCAAATCTGAACTGCACCAGAATCCACTGCCTGTTTTCTGCATAGGGTATGTCTACCTCCTTGGTTGGGAAATTCAGAGAAACAGTTTACTGTATAGATTAGACATCACAGTATAATGTAATGATATAAATTCAGAATGAAGATACTAAGGTAGTTCTAAGAGGTCTTGTCATCTCCTAATCGAACAACCTCTACCACCTAAATATTTCTTGTCAGAGCTGTGTCCTTTTATCTAAAGTCAGAAAACCCTCTTCCTGGAAAGTGCTGAAAATACTTCATGTAAACAGACATATTATTAATTGAGCAAAGAGTGATCCCTTTTTGAACTTATACCTGAACTTGAGAAGTAGACAGAGATGAAAGAACTACTAGGGACTCCTAAGAGAGCAACAACTTTATAAGAGGAGCTGGAAGTGTCCAGCTCACCCAGTGCTGGGTATGCAACAGGTCTTTCTTTGACTTTGGGTGAACTGGTCAATCAGTTGGCTTATTAATTCCTTTTCTAATCACACCCTAATCACACATTATTTATCACTTCTTACCTTCACTTCCTTTCTAAGGTATTTATTGGCAATCATATTAGGCACCATTATTTATTAATTTGTGAATCCAGAGGTCTGTAAACATCTTTTTTCTTACTATTTCCAACTCTGTTTATGGCTTTTTAAGTCAGTACACACCCTAGGTTTGGACTGAGCTCTTTTCCAAGAAATATCAGTCTTTTCACATCACAGAGGATCCTTTTCCTCAAAAGTGTTTCAAGTAAACTCACTTGTTCTATATTGCAGCTTTTCAAGAGGTTTAACTTGCTCTTCCAATATTCCTTAGAATAGTTAGTATGATCACTTCGATATTATGGAAATGTGAATGTCAAATCACCAGAGTATAAAATTTATTACATGGAAACGTCAAGACTTTAGAACAATATTATCAAATAAGGAGCCCAAGTAAAATGATTAAATCAGGAAGACAAACATAATTTATGTAATTCACATGAGGGAGGAGCTAGATGCTTCTGTTTATAGCCAGATGTGCTAGGAGGAGGAGTAAAAGTAGAAAACGGGAAAGAAAAGATACTTAAATACTAGTATATAATTCAATGCACATCCATTACATTCTATGTCATTTAATTTGATTTCCAGATGAAGGCTGATGTTTGGCTGTGTAGCAATTATGCAGCAGTATGGCCAAGCCAATTGTTTTCCACAGGTGTTTGATTGGTCAGTGCCTGTGATCTACCAGTTGTTAAATACTTGAAATATCACTTAAAACCATGCCAAGCCTACAAAATAGATATTAATTCTACAAAGTGGTTAGTTTTGTCTATATTTCAAAGAATGTCATGGAGAAATTAAGTGCATCTACAGCAAGCAGTGGAGCTTCACGTGAATTATCTCACTTACCCCTTTTTGAATGCTCCTTATGAGGTTTTATCCCAATTTTTTTTTTATATCCCAATTTTAAAATGAGGGTATCGAATTAGATAATGATGTCAAAGTGATAGTTATTTATCTTTAGAAATATATTGCATTCAATATTTTAGAGAATTACTTTAAAACCATAAAATTGTAGCATAGAAATGGGTCTTCTATATCTACTTCAGGGATGAGAAAAACATTTTATAAACAAAACCCTTATTTCAATAGAAATCTTATTAGAAATAGCAATAAGTAAAACCAGGAAGCAAGATTTAGTGGAAACAAAGGTGGGTGTTCTCAATTCCCTGCTAATTCTGCTCTTCTTTACCCTCAGAAAGTCCCATGTGCCCCCTGCTTAGAACCGTAAGTTCTCACAGAAACTCCATTTGAAAATCACTTATATAATCCACATCTTCATGTTCAGATGGGCCTGAGATCCAGAGAAGGAAAGGGACTTGCCTACTGTCATCCAATTCATAGAGGGAGAGCTGGGACTAGAAAGCATACACCACACACAACAGAGCAATGTGTTTTTCTTATGTATTAGTAATTCCAATTAGGAGATAGGCAAAGATGTTTTATTGGACAAAAAAAAATCTCTGAATTAGGATAAATAAACTTTAAGTAGGTTGTTTTAATTCAGATATTTTGATGTAAAAATATTTTGGCCATAAGAACAAATGAACAAAATAACTCCTTCAGCTTAAATAAAATATTGTCAAGCAGACCATATCTTTTGCCCAATATGTTTTCCCATGCTATGTTATTTTTCCCGAGGCTTGCCTCTCCCAAACTCTAGTTTTAGCAAATGGTTGGTCAAAACGGAAATAGAAAGTGATAGGTTCTCGATTTTTGAAGTCAGTTCCATGTTTTAATAATTTTTCTATAAACTTTCTCGAATAACAAATCCAGCCATGCAGAATAATTTATGATGAAAAGCAAGTTTCCCTTCCCATTCCCCAGTGCCACTCCTGGATGGAGCCAAGGCCGGTGTCAAATTACCTTGGATCACAACATTCATTACATGTTGGGATAGAAGGGCTTATAAGCAACAGTTACCAGCTGTAGCTACTATAGTGTTCTTCCTATTTAAATTTCTCTGTGGTCCCCCAAGATTGAGATCCTTGAGGATAAAGACATGGTCCTCTGTAATACCCAAAGAAGAGTCCCTCCTTAATCCTTGGGAGTCAACAGTTGAACTGGGACCTAAACTGTCTTATTTATTCTTAGATTTGAGGATTTAGCACATAGTGCTCAATACATGTTTGCTTAGGAATTAATTAATTAGTTAACCAGCAAAGGTCTTAAGCCAGTACAGTATCACTTCACTAAATTATGTGCCTCAATTTTATGACTGCAGTACTGTTGGCAATCACTGGGAGTGACCAAGACAGCCTACTCAAATACTATCATTCCTATGGCCCTAAGCAAGTACCCTGTAAGGAAAGACATAGAAACCTGTGCATGGAGGTTGGTCCTGACACTGACCTTGGTTCAATCCATAAATTAATCAACAAGTAATAGCTGTTGTACTGATCCAGGATGGAGGCGGAATAGGTGGGAGGTAAACTTACCTCCTCCCAGGACCAAACTGGAATCACACTAAAATATAAAGCAATCAACCTGAACAACCAACGGAAGACTAGCTGAACTGAAGTCTTATAACCAAGGATTTACAGAAGAAGCCACATGAAGACTGGTAGAATGGGCAGAGATGAGAAAAGGGCTGGGCCCACTCCCATGGGTGGTGGTTGAGGTTCAAGAGAGATATCTCAGCTGCAAAGGTTTCCCCTAAAAACATGGGCTCTCAACCCCAAACCGAACTCCCCAGCCCAGATCACCAGAGTTGGGAAGAGGCACCCACATAACATCTGTCTGTGAAAGTCAGCAGGGATTCTGTCTACCAGGAAGAGATGGGCGTCTACTAGAGACACAGGTACCCTTTTAAAGAGCCAATGCACAAAATCTCATTCACAGCCACTCACCCTGGGCTCTGGCGGAGGGAAGGCAAAGTGGACTAGAGTCATGTGAGGAGAGACTGGGGTTTGTGGCTCTGGGGAGAGAGCTGAAGGGACAGCTGCTAAGATCCCTGTACTGAGTCCCTCTCCCATACCACAGACACCATCTTTCTTGGGTGGAGCACTCCTCTCCTTAAGTCATCAACCTGGTGGAATACAATAGCCCCACCCTCTGGACTCCATGTTGATTCACCCTGTGAAGCTCACACCCTGTGGATGAATCAATGGCCTGAAGTTCCGGCAGACTCATGGGGTTTCAGTGACTGAGTTGTGGGACTCTGCGTTAAAGGCCATTCCCTTATCTTCCTGTGAGCCTGATGGGCACATTCCCTTATGGGAGCTCTACTAGCTGCACCCTCTGGATTCCTTCTGGCCTCGCCCTGCCAAGGTCAGGCTTTCTAGAAGGTCAGGCAAAGTCCTGGACAGAGTAAGTTGTGTGGTTCTGGGATGGTGGCTATTTTTTTCTTGAACACCCAACTGGTGTGGAGCCCTCCCCTCAAGCAGCCACATCTTGATCTGTTTGGGCTTGGTAACTGCTGGCCTAACCCCGATGACTCCCTGAGACTGTCATACCACAAAGATCTGTGGGCACCTGGCCAGTGGCAGCTAGACTTGGTACACCCTGAGACTTTGGCTGAGTGACCTCAGACCCAGCACTGGCACTGAGTTTGAACCTGAATCAATCTGGTGAACACCACTTGCCCCTACCTGGTGACTCACTGAGAATATGCCTCATGCTACTCGAGTACCACCCGAGGCTCTT